CGTCAGGAAAATAAAGTCCTTGTTCCAGTGATCGCATCTTCTTCTTCGAAAAAAACGGTCGTTTGCAAATACTTTCATACTACGCGACGAAGAGTTTATAACTTTGCTGTTCGGCACAGAAGTAAGATCTCAAGGACCACACATAAGCAAAGACTGAAGAGTTATAATCATTATTTAGTGGTCTTGTGCGAGCGTCGACCCCTGCAGCCTGCAGGTTGCTCCCAGCAGCCAATCAAAATGGAAGGAGTGTGCCAAACCATGTCGGCAAAAAAACCATTCGAGGAGAATCGAAAGAAACACCACCCTGGGCCATGAAATTCTAGTATATTTGCGATGCCCAACAGATCAACCACCTATTTGAGTGCATTTGTTACCTAGTGGCACATGAAAGAGGTTAGGATGGTGTTATCCAAGGCGATGCGACGGCCACAGTTCTGAAACTATCATAGACCCCTAAAAGCCCAATACTGAATTAAATATTTGGTAGATAACAAAGAACACGCAATTATGCAACACCCGGAATGGTAAGCCACAAAACTCCCTGGACCGTGAAACTCAGTAGTTGCTGGTTAGTAGTCAGCTGTAGCATAAAACAAACAAGCAGATGCAGTTTCCAAATCCAGAATTGTCCTGATTTTCGACACGGTACTTTGTATTTTTTTCGCATCGTCCCCTGAATGGTGCGTGCCTACACCGGCCAGGGGCAAGGGCGACAAAATTCCACATACAGAGAGTAAGCAAATGGCAAAAGGAGAGGAGGGGCGGATTACCGGTCGTAGTGTTGAAGGCGCCTGGATAGATAAGAAGGTCACAACCATGTTGACGAGCGTAGATTAAGGCCAACTCGGGAAAACGCATGTCATAGCAGATGCCCATGCCTACGGTGAACTCATGGCCCTCCTTGTTCTTGGCCTTAAATGACAGGAAGTTGGAACCCGGTGACAGGGTGTCCGACTCGTGGAAGCTAATCTTGCCTGCGGTAAAGAAGGCGTAGTGGGGAAACATTTGAGTAAAAAAAACAGTAGCGAAGAAGAAATACTTGTAGATAGCAGTGTCTATTACTAAATGCATTAAAACTGGAAGACCAAAGCTTCGTAGACGGTCAGACAGGGTAACGGAACAGCAACAATTGCCAAAGTATAGATAAGCAAAATAACAACATACCGGGAATGTCAATATCGAACAGGTGAGCCTTGCGGTAGGTTCCTACAACCTCGCCCTCGGGATTGTAAACCACTGATGTATTATAAAGCTTGTCGTCTGACCCTTTCTCAGGGATTGATCCAGCGACCAACCAGATCTTGTGCTTCCTATAACCAAATAAAAATGCAAAAGAAAACTGCAACATGACCGAAATTTAGCACTAAGAGTTGATTTATTAAATCACAAAGGAATCAAAAGGCAAACGAGGCAAAGGTAGCAGGAACAAGTGAATGAGGTGAACATACTTAGCGACCGCAGCCATTTCTTGACAGGTGTTTCCACCAGGAACGACCTCCGAGTACTCAGAGAAGAATCCAGTTCCGTAGGGCGAATTAAAACACTCGGGCAAAACCACCATCTCGGCGTGGTCTTCATTAACACATTTTTCGATTAATGCGATGGCATTTGTGATGTTAGTTGGCTTATCCATTCCAACTTTTAGTTGGGCAAGAGAGAGCCGAAGCACTTGGTCGGAAGACATGGCGCTTTCCATGATAGACATAAGAAGGGTTCAATTTCAATTGGATAAAGGTATAGTTAAATGAGATGCACACGACAATTCAATGCAAGTCGAAATATTTTGAGGGCATTAAAACATGTGTACTGTACTGGATAAAGCGATAACATACTTAAGGGAGAAGACTATGCAAAAACATAAACATCCGGTTAGAAAGGAAATGACAGCCGAAGTACATATATATCCCATGCACAACGACGCAAAATTTATTTATACTTGTGCATTTTATAAAGCACCATAACACAACTGCTTGGGTCATCCTACGTTCTTACGATTCATTGGAATTAATGAAACTGTGTAGAAATGTAGTGTAGTAGTTTCTTGGTAAATGAGGCTTTTAGCATTTTTCCAATAATCACAAACTGCATGCAAGAAGATATAGAAAATAAAAAAAAATTGCCTTATATACAAGCAAGTCAGTCCGAAAAGCTCATTTTTGACAATCGACTCTTATCTTTCGTGCCGTCAAAGAAGTTTATTTGTAGAGAAGTTCACTTCAACAGCATAGAAACGTAAGGTATGGAAAAGGAATAGTGTTAGGCCTAACAATCCTGATAGCATCAGGTCGAAAAAAGCTAGCATATGGCTAACTAGTTCTGGTGATGTACAGTTTACTTAGCCATATGCTAGGATTTGTCGACCTGATGATGTCAGGGAATAGTAGCTTACGGAGACCAAGCAATCAGAAAGTTCATGAAAGATAAACATTCAAGAAGGGAAAGGCAAAAATGTGTGAGTAAATGTATGAGACGATAGATTAGACGAATTCTTTATACTAAATTATGGAAGGAGGCACCGTAAAACGTAATAATCAAAGCAGAATAGGTCGATCTATTGCGTTGATCAACGCTATATGCGCAGAATTCATGTAAAGGTCTCTAGAATATGTATGATATAATGACGAATGTCAACGGCGAATAGGATAAGTTATATTCTTAAAATCAAAGAGTTAAGGAAAACAATTGCAAAATGTATTTAATCACACTCGAAATTGACCGCGAATGCAGAATTCATAAGAAATATCGGCACGAGCACCGAGAGAAGACAATATAAGAAGCATAAATCAAAAAATAAGACAGGGCGTGTAAGACAGCCATAAAGCGAAGAAGACGATAACAGGTCAATGAAACTAGTTTTCCGCGACTCTGAGAAATGGTCATTTGCCAGCTGCACCTCATTTTGAGGTCAATCGCTATGGAGCCTGTTAATATACAACAAAAAAACTGAAAGAGTAAGGTCGAAGAACAGATTCAAACAAACTGGAACGGAATGAAAAATATTTTTTCTTTAGGTACAATAAGTATTAGATAAGGGCAAATGAGAACATCAGGTAGAGAATACGCTCAGAACAACCGCAACTACTAACTATCAAGGGTCCTGTTGTTACTTCAACCGGTTTACTCACCAACATATTTAGCGTGCTCTGGAAATGATTGTGTTCAAGTCAGACGCTATATTCAAGCTTTTAAGTTGCATCCAATCAATTTACAAGTTCTTCGAGATCTTTCGGCGTTACAGATGCACACATGTGACCTCGAAGGTTGCAAGGAAACAGTTAGTTTATTGAGATTGGGAGCGAACAGGAACAACAAAACACAAAAAGGGTATGGGATAGCAGGAAGTCCGAACGAAAAGGGGGGGCACCGGGAAGAAGCCACAGCACTTTGCTGAGTCACAGCCGGAGAAAACGGAATTAGTCAATCAGGCCTCGTACTCGGCACCTTCGTCCACCGTTGGCTCCTTGGTCTCTAGAAGGACAACCAAATACAGTAGGGTGAGTCCAGGAAGAGGATGTTTAATAGAAATATCCACTACAGCACCTCAATGTGAGGTTTTTTGGTAGCAAATCTGTTAATATACAACCAAAATTTTGAAGCAAGACCAAATAGCAGAATTTATTCGCGCGAATAAATTTCGAGAGCGCTTTTCAGCTGCGTCCGCTCCATGCATGAATAAT